AATAATAATAATAATAATACATAATAATACATAATATTAGAATATATAGGCCTATATAAGATTTTTGACAGTGAATTTTATATCATAATTATAACAAAGGACAATAATACAATATTACAGGTAGGTATATAGGTAACCGCACACAATTATTTTATTATTTATGGGCAAAAACACAAATACAGTAAATGACGTCTTTATATTATGTGTTTAATATAATACATAATAATAATAGTAATAATAGTTAACTCAAATTTAGAATTGATTTTTTTCCACTTATAATATAGGCGTACACATGTTTCTCGCGCGTGTACGAATAAACACACTAGGTAGGTAATATACAACAATAATATAATAACATCAACAACAACAAAAGCAACAACAAAAAAACAACAACAACAACAATAACAAGAACAACAACGACAGCGAAAAAAAAGAGAGGAAAGAGCTTAAAACGATTTTTGTTCATTTTATAATTCTATTATTGTTAGGAGGGTTACGAGGATTGGCACCGTTGTCGTCGTCTTCATTTTTTACTTCTAGGAAACGTTCGTACAATAATTTGTTTTTATTTAGAATATCGATATTTTAATACGATATATTACACAGGCGGGGATATAATATTGTGCATAAATTATCACGTCTGAACCGCCGGTTTGAAAACGCCGTCGATCGATTAGATCGTTTTCTCGTGGTATTTTTTGGGTGTTGTGTGACTGCAGAAAGAACTAGTTAATTTTTTTATCCATAAGAATATGTCATCCTCTGTAAAAAAAAGGCTTAGAACCGGGTCGCAAATTTATTCTCGTTCTCTTTTTAATCGTCTTTTCTCAATCACGATCACTTTAAGTCATATAAAAGTGACCATATATGGGTATTTAGCCGAGTCAAGAAGAATTTGGGAAATAGTACTACTATTTGCTGATGACGTTTTTACACTTCGGAAAAATTAAATTTGTTGTGTATATAATGTGACATAATAAAGCAATTTCTTAATAAAATAAATAAACATCTAATATTTATATGGTCTATACAGTGTTAACATAATATGTATAATAAATGTAACAAAAATACGATACATAAACTAAAATATATTTTTCAACCTAACTATATGTATAAGTATCTAGTACCTACTTAATTTTTTAAAGTGATCCAAATATTGACAAAATATAATTACGTACTTATGAGGTAACCATTTTTTTTGTTTTGAAATACCCATTGGTACAATATACGTCGAGTGTTTTTGATATTATGAATACACTTACGATATTACTTCACTAAAAATATAAAGATAAAAATATTTATCATGGAATAATAATAATTATAAAATAATAAAACGTTACGATTCACCCGATGTATAATAACTTTTATTTAACTTTTTTACTAGAAATATTGTTTTTATTTTCTTAACCAGGGATGTATGAATTAAATCTAATATAATCATGTTGTTTCAAAAACACCGTTCAAAACTTAGTATTTACGCGAATTTGTTCGTAGTTTCATTGACAATTTCACCTGAGATATAATATATACATAGCCACATAGGTCCTTATGTCCTATACTCCTATACATTGGATACGCTCTTTCTGTGATGGTGTACCGTGATACTTATATACGATTTTGTGTATTTTTGATCGTTTTTGAATATTTGCGGTTTGTTTGGCGGCGAGACAATTACAATTTAGTATAACATTCTATAGTATTATTATAAGTTTATTATAAGACAATAAGTACAAGTTACATTTATAGTAAAATTATTAGAGAAAAATAAAATGAAAAACAAGATCGATAAATTTGTAACATCGTAATAATAAATAATCTTATTACAGCTGTGCAACATTATTAAAAAGAAAATAAATATTTTTGGCAGTTTTGATCTCGGATCTTAGGTACGCGAATTTTTAACGTATGTATTCGCGTTAAAAGTATACACTACGGAAAACATTTTATACTTGATTATTTTAATATAATATTATTTAGATAGGTACATAAACAATTTTTTTATACCACACTAGACATATTTAAACGATTTATGTAGTAATGTTAGTTATACATATTTTAAAGTAACCCTGGTAAAAATATGTACACGAAACCAAAATTCAATAACAACGATGTACAATATATTTTAATATTATACCTGTGTATTGCACCAAGAGCTGTAGTAAACATAACAATAATATTAAAAATAATAATCATAACCTACAGCAGTACATTTTAATTATTATTATTTAATATCATATTCATGGGCAATAAAAATGTTTTAAAATATATTCTTAATCAGACTGGAGTATCATGAACAGCACACGAATTACACTGAACATCAGGTCGATTAATGATTTTTGATACGCAGAAAAGTATCGCGTTCGTGATGAGTGCCTGACGGCGGATGTACATCGTGTATTATTATGAGAATAGAGAGGATCACATTTTCCGGTTATCTAGCAACTTATACACGTAGTACAATTGCCCTAGTTTACGACCAAGCAATAAAAAGAAAAAACCTGAAGTCCCGGATGTTGTTTTTATGAATATTATTTTTTGTTTCCCGCATCGGAAAATATCTCCCAGTCATCATCGGTTGCGCGATTGAAATACGAATCAAGTCCAAAAGTCGTTTGTGTGGTAAAACAGCGAAGTAGAATAATAATAAAAAAAAAACTACGGCAAACGAAATTATAAAATCGGTGTCGGTGAAGTCATCAGCGCACGGGGGACGGAGAGACACAGAGAGATAGAGTGAGAGAGAGAGTGGAAAAATGAAAACGACATGGAAAATTCGTATACTCGCGAAACACACCTATTACATTATGTGGAGGAAAACGTCGTAAGTCGATTCGTTATCGGAAATGTATAACGAGGAGTGCACGCTAGTAGGTACCAATACTGAACGCGTTGTAAAATAAATATTTTTTATTTTTTTAGGATAACGGAACCGAATAGAGAACCCCTACTTGTTCGAGATGGTTTATTTGTTCGGGATTGAAGGGAAAAAATGAAACCGTGAGAAGCGCAAATACTGGCGAGTGGATATTACACGCCGAGGGTCTGAAAGATTATAGAGTGTATTACCATGTCGTCGATTTGATATTATATGAGTCTAAATCACGAGTGAAGTACACAAATCGATTTGCCTTTTCAAARGCGAAATAGCTAGGGTACTCGCCGGACGATATTGTCTTTCACTTGCCGTGACAYAGTGCCAAACGAATGATGATGATGATACYAATAATATTATTATGGTTATAGGCAACGATTACAACTGTACCTTTATAAATAAACGATTTTAGTGTCTTACAATATTATTTTATTGTTTAGATATACCATCAAGACAATTGATTTGTATTTTTACCTCGCTAGACTCACGGACGCAAAAGCAGCTAAGAGCATCATCCGCTGACTGCAGAAATGGCATTATGATGGTGGCCGGTGTGAGTGGAGGGAATCACCGGGGCTTAATGAACTGGAATAATTAATTATGCCGGAAATTGTGTGACAAACAATAAACGAAAAATTCTGTAATCTGGAGACATGATCCATCATTGGAGTGTTCTTATGAGTCTAATATATTATTATTATTAAAATATAAGTGAAGGCGTCTTTTTAAGAAAAAAGTTCAATGGGAATATTAATTCATGCGTTCCACGAATAACTTTGACAACTGCAACTAGTAACTACTGCCGTATTACCCGACCAAATTGCCACACATGACCAGTTTTAGGTCTCTTAAAATCGCCTATACCATGATAATATTATATTGTTATTGACTACTGTAAACTCATTGGTGTTGGTGCATGTATTAGAAAAAACAATTAATATACCTTTTAGGTATAAAGGCTGTTTTAAGAATAAATTATCCGGAGGTGTATGGAATTGTCTATTATATTGCTGATGAATGATGATTTCAGTTTGAATTTTTTTAGTATCAAACGTAATTAAACGTATTGATCAATGTTGCTATCATCAGCGAAATATATTTGAACATATAGTCTCGTACGAACGTCTATTTATTGTATTTCTACATATCAATTGTAGAGGTGAGCATCCTATTCTTAACCTAACTTAATCAGGTGCAGATCCAAGGGCTTTAGCATCTCACCTATTTTAAAATACTATATACCTATTAATATACATTTTTTATTTAGTGTTTATTTAAAATTATTAATTTATTTTTATCAAATCAGATTTATACCTAATCTATTATGTGGGGACTAAAATTATAATTTTATTTTGCTGAAAAAATGTATCCCCAGTTTCAGATATTTCTAGATCCACACCTGAATTTAGCCTAATAACCAGAGCCGGYGGTTATTATGACGTCATATTTTATAAGCATTATTAATTTTTGACATGTGGGATACGTATGCGCGATGGCCGTAGGTTACATCCGCACAGAAATTTACAATATCATAAAATATTCAAAATAATGAAAATAATTATTCGGACGATAATCACGTCATACAATCCCGCTGTAGTATAGTCGAATTTTCAATCACGTCCTGCTTCGCCACTTGACGCGACGACAAGTCTCGAAAATCGGACAAGAGACCGCAGAACGACGCGTGGGAAACGGCAGCGGCGCGTTATCTACGTCAGTGTTTGTATTCGGGAAAATGTTTGTTGTTGAGCAGCACGGACCGTTCGTAGGTCGTGGCCGGGGTTGGGCCAAGGTGGTTGTTGGCGGAGGGAGAGCGTTKTTGTTGTTGTTTTTGCTGTTGTTGTTGGTGGTGGTGACGTTGCTGATGGTGGTTGTTGTTGTTGCTGCTGCTGTTGTCGGCGGCGATGATGGTGGTGTTGTTGTTGGCGGTGGTGGTGATGCTGGTTGTGGCGGTACGGGTATCGTCGTTGGCGCCGTTTCGCCGCTGCTTGCACCGCGGTGACGGTGAATGGCCGCTGCCGCTGCTGGTGGCCGACAGCTGTGCGTCGTACCCGGAGCGGTGTTGTCGGTGCGTCGAGGACCGGCGGCTGCTCCGGGCGCTGCTGCTGCCGCCACTGTGGGCGGCCGCCGGCTGTCGGACGCCACTGTCGGCGATGGCCGCGACCGCCGGCATGTCCATGCTAGCCGACCGCGCTATTGGTCGACGAGCTTCCGGAGGAATGAAAAAAAAGAGAAAGCACAAAAACCAAACGTTTATTATTCCACGCGAACGGCGCGATTTTATAATGATATATGTTGACGAAGACGACGGGTCGTCTTTTGCGTGACATGCACTTGGTTTTCCCCATAGCAAGTCTACACAAGTTGAGGTTCTATATACTGAAAAGCAAATGGAAAATAGGTACTTTCGGGAAATTCAAGAAAAATTTCGGTGGCCGTTATTTATCGTCCTGCCCACCACTGGGTCGTATACAATTTATCACCACGTGATCGCCCGCTGTACTGTTATAATAATATTATGATAATATGGTTATATTATTATATCTATGGTACCACTAAAAATGTAGTGTTGAAATGAATAGTAGCATAATTAATATTTCATAGTTAGACGTAAATTAATATAAATTAAGAAACATAAAAAAATCCATCAAAGATTTTAACGTTATTATGCTTTTATTGTAAAAATTGAATGCTATTATAGTATCTTAAAACAAGTAAATAACGTTGTGTCTTTTAAGACAGATATATGATCATGAAATGTGCACAATGCACATAGCATCTAAGATGTAGTGCCGTAGTGGTAAGATTGCCTCATACTACATAACATGATTATATGTTAAGAAGTATTCACCATTTTTCCATAAATAGATCACTTCTTACGCTATACAGTCTTACAGACTTATTTACCTATACACGTAAAATATCGAAATACAKAGAAATTTCAAAATTTCAGAATAAAAGACCTATCCGTTATTGAAAGGTGATAAATTTTATATGGTTCGCAGTGGTTGGGCGATAACAAACATGTACCCCGAAAAATGTTCACTCGGATTTTGCTGCTTTTATGTCCATCTGATAGTACGCTTGAAGGGTATTACGCATGGTAGTATCAATTGCGTGGTTATCGGTTGACATTACCATTGATAAGTCAGGGTGCAGACGTGATCGGTCTTCATATACCAGGTGATTCATGTAACGTAATAAGCACTCATTATTTGAAAAACCAGTAACAATTTAAAAAAGAGTTTTTTATTTTACGATTTTAAGTCGTTAGAAAAAAACTTTTTCTAAAAAATATAATATTTTTTACAACTTTTTGTCTATGATTTGTAAGTATGCAAAGACGAGCGAAGTGAAATGAAACAGGGTTACCTCGAAAAATGTTGGTCCACTGCTTTGCTTATGTAAACTTTAAACACTTATAAGTTAGAGTTAATAAACCAAGCGTCTGCAGATATTCAATTTTGATAGATCGGAATACTATGGATAGTCCGAATAATATCCTACCGCCAGTGTTTTCTGAAATAATGAGTGTCTTAGGTTAGATGCATCATTCCTATATATAGTAGAAAGATATGATAATATTATATTGATTGATTTATAGACTGTGAATAAATGGGCCGACTCGATAGCGGAAGAAAAACGTACCCTAAAAGAATATCCGGAATGGTGGAATGTCTCGTTATATTATACGATTTCTTTATCAAAATATATTTTAAAAATGTTATCACTGATAGAAAATATATTTTTTTTTACCTTACAGACCTAAGCGACTTCTTTGTATGTAGAACACGATCTTACAGAAAGCGGACATCATAATTATTATGATAACTATAATAATGTATACTACTAAGTGCTACAGTATTCAAACAATAATAATACTCTCTAACCTTAACGTTTATAATAATAATATTACATTATACCTATCATTATCATATAATATAGAGGACGGACCACCCCGAGGTTCCCGTTGTCCTTATTTGTCAGTTGCGTTACGGATGGATGGGAAAAAAACAGTGGTCCATCCCATATACATATTATAAACGTATATATTTATTCATTTTATACAGCAGCTGTGGGCGTTTTGTTTTTTTTCTCGTCTTATTATTTTTCTTTTTTTTTACACAACCGCGAAATTCGTTCGGAAACGACACAGTCGATTAACTGGAAACCGATTTATCTACCAATGGTATTATTGGTATATTATGTTTGAGTTATTGCGGTAGTAACGAAACGAGGAGAAGAAAAAACAAAACGATCACGCACGCGGTTTTCAAAAAATCTACTCGTGTTTATAATATTTTTTTATCATAAACACATAATATTACATTAGGTATATACAAATCATAATTTATCGGCGGTGGTTAAGCATATTTCAGAGGTCAAGTCAATATTTCATACCTTCGTGGATAGATTTAAATATTATGTGTGTATTAAAACACTGTAATGGTTTAGCCTTTAGCCAATATTATAGTAATCCGAGTAAAATTTATCGGCAGATATTTCAGCTATAAATATATCGGTAAAACAAAAATGCTGTTATTGCTTTTCAATGTTTTATTTATTAAATCGTATCTGTATGAAATTAAAATTATTTATAAGTTTAAATTACTGAAAATTGTTCTCTCGAATGTAATAACCACTATTTTTGAAAAGTTGCATGTAACTTATCAGCCATTTAACGCTTTGCATAAGACCACCACTCAATTATAAATACATACACGTACACAAATACAGGGTGATTTTTTAACTTTCAACCTTCATTTTGTCGGTTGATTAATAAAATACAGTTAAAGTAATCGCGATAGTTACTATTTTTTTTCTAAATGAATCAATTATTTTTGTATTTTAGTCATTATCTATAAGATTTTTTTTAAATTTAAACAAGTTATATCATACTTATAGAAAAAAAGATAGAATATGAAATTAAAAATTATTGTTCGCATTGGCTGCTGTAAAATTGGGACACGCGGCGTTAAACGAACCACCCTGTATTTAATATAATATAACACTACTACGCTATGTTTCGGGAACTATATAATACTATAAGTGCACGTAAGTATTTATAACGATAATATAGTATGACGTATATACACTAAAAATATAATATACAGAGTGATTCAACAAACATGCTCTCATACCTTTTTCTTTTTGAATAATTCAGTTGTTCAAAATTTGGATTTTAGAGTTTTTCAAATATATACTCGAAGATTATTTTTATATTTTTAAATTATTGAATTGTTTTGTACTACTTAAGGTGATACCAACTTATGTTTTTGAATGGAAACTCGCCTTTTTTACTGTAAATTATTTAGTGTATATTTTTTTTAAGAATATTGATGTATACTTGATTCAAAATTCGATCAAATCATTTTTTAGTTATTGAAATGTTTATACTGAGGATAATATTACTTTAAARTGGCTTTGCAAAGATATAAAATATAGGTGTAATATTGATCTAACTAGTGTTTTTAATAATAATTATAAACGTTTATAGATTAATATTAGGTAAGTTCTAATATTACGTAAGTTAAATTCACTATAATAGCCCTTACATCATTCAAACCCATTATCATGGACCCATTATCCTTAGTACACAAAGTTTAAAGTTAAATAATTCATAAACTACTCTTTCGAATGTGTAGCAAAATTATGTGTTAAATAATTAAGTAAATTACAGTAAATTAGGGGGTTCTTATTTTGAAAAACCTAAGTTTGAATCTACACAGGATATTCCTTATTGAATAGTACACAAAAATATCAAGAATTTTAAAATTAGGCTTTTAATTACGTTTAAAAATGCCCAAAATCACATTTTTAATAATTGCATTGTTAAATAAGAAAAAGGAGTTGAGCATGTTTGGCGAATTACTCTGTACGTCAATTAATTATAATACTATACAATTAGCGCCTATGACGGGTTTGTGCATGTGGTGCATACCTTTCGCTGTCGGGGGTATTACACGCGTTCCGACAGGAGGGCGGGYGGTCTGCCGATTCATAGATGCTTTCCTCACCTGTTGTCGAGTGGACGGTGGCCGACGACGCCCGGGCGGCCGCCTGTTGGTACGGCGACGCCGAGCCGCTGGTCGCCCTACTCGCCGGACGGTACCAACCCCTCACGAATCTCGGTTCTTCGCATCTGTGTAAAACAAAACAACAGGGGATGAACAAAAAATAAAGATCATTTTCGTTACAATAGTTATATTTTAAACGACGTATTAATATTATCATAAAGTGTAATATAGACTATCCCAGGCGTCCTAATCGAGGGGGTGGCGAACGTCATTACGCCTCCTTTCATCCCTATATATTGTTATTACCGCGGAGACGTGCTTGACGGACGAACGATGATTACATAGTAAGTATAATATTTTATAACTTTATATACGACAATTGAGGGAAGTACTCACGAGAGGATGTCGTATCACCCTTATTAGCTTATTTGTCTTTGTTAATTTCTCATAATTTATTGTGAAAATAAAAATTCCTATTTTCCATATTTTTTCTGTATACTGTGTGAATTTTAATTTTTAATATAAGTTAAGTTAATTGATAACTTTAAAAATAAATGATTAAGTAATAAAAGCATTTATGTCGTATTGTCACCATCGTGAAGTAATTTACGCTAAATTCCACTTACACACGATTCATGATGTATTATAATTATAATTAATTAACTTCTGCGGGTAAATTCAAGAATATATATATAATTTTGTCAAAACGTAGTCTGAGAATAGTTCAAAACTCAAATTCTTCTTTTAAAAATAACTGAACATGCTAATGCGGTGATTGCATATTTACAGGACACGAAATGATAGTATATTATGTAATATTATGATTAGGTTATGACTAGCATTGCTGTGAAATAGTATATTTTTTCTAAGTTCAAATACAATTGGTTGTCAATTATATTGAATATATTCACTTTTGGCCAACACTGAATTGAAGAGATAATTTTTTTATTCATAATTGACAAGATTGAATATTTAGAGTTTTTGAGAATTAATTTGAAAACATGAATGTAAAATCATTTTCACCTATTGACGTTCAGTAATTATTATTTGTATGTATATTTTGTAAATATACTAATTATAAGATGATATTTTCGGACGTATCGAGTAAAAGGTAAGATTTTATTTTATTAGGCTTGGGGAGTGAGGTTGTTTATTAAGTTTCACTTAATCTAACCGTTAGTACGATGCGCGTGTTTGCCGTGTAGATACAGCGTTTTATATTTTTAAATGACAATTAGACTAAACATTTACAGAAAAAATTTCGAGAAACAGGCCTCAAACAGCCAAGTTCTATGAAATGAACACGATCTGTTAAATACTATCTAATCTAGTAAAGCTTAAAACATTAACAGTAAGATACTTTTTCGAGTTATTTGCGATAAATTTTCATATGAAAACTATTAATGAATAAATAGTAGGTGTCTAAAATTATTTTTGTTTTTTTTATTTTATTCCATTTTTGATCTTATTTAAATACTAGTTTTAAATCGATTATGATATTGTAATATTATGACGTATTGTAAATATGAATAAAAATAATYACCCGGGATGCGCGTCATGTCTATAGTGTCTGTCGACTTCTGTTTCGGACATTCTGTTCTCTTCCGAACCAGATGGACTATGTCTTACGGTGTGTTCTTGGATCTGTTTGAAAAGGTCTTCAAGATTCCGTATACGGATTGTGGAGGAAACTTCTTTAGCGGTCTCTTCTTCATCTTCTGGGGCTTAATTAAACAGATAATTATTAGAATTGAACGTCAAGTACTTGGGTGAGATTCAAAACGCAGAAGTATTCATATAATACACACCAATATCTGTTCGCCTGCTAGGCCTCCGATATGGATGTCGATGGCATGTTGGGGCACCACTTTCAGACAAAACAGTATGACTTTGAGGTAGTCCATGTCCTAAAAACACATTTCATTGACACTTACAGTTATATAAATAAATTTAATTTTTACTAACTGTCTTCGCACAGTCTTTCTTGACTGGCTGTAATGCGATTATAAGCCGATTCGGCAGTTTCAGTCAAGGTACGCCATAATAGGTCTTCACTACTCGACCTGGCACCAGACGATGATCTATGGGCGGCGGTACGAAGTTTTTCCAACAAGTCTCCGTGGTAGCCATCAAGTGATTTGATTTTCCGTTCCATGTCAGATATACTTACAGATCCCGGAGCTAGACCACAACTGCTTCCACGTCCACTCATGTGGAGATTTTCTATAATGAATAATTCAAATATAGCCCTCGGAGTTCAAAGAGTAAAGACCCCTTAAAAATTGTCCACACTGTCGAATATGATTCATGTGATGTGTTGAAAGTATAATGAAACTTTTAAATTTTAAGACAATATGGTCAAAATAGTTTTTTCTATGTGCTTAAAGTTGAATACACTAGGGTATAAGAATATGAGATGAACAGACAGAACTGTATTGGAAGTTATTGAAGGTTAAACAAATGAGTATTGGCGATACTCAAAAAATATTGGCAACAATATTATACAGACATAGGACGTTCAACAAGTTGAATTCATAACGGCAAAATCTCTGGGGGTGATAAAAAATATACAATCATAAGTAAGATAAAAATAAACTTACCTTGGACGTTCATATCGTCTTCGTCGTTAGGACACAGGCCTAATCTAGACAAGTTTTGTGACTTATGCTCCCTAAAAATTATATATAATACGTATACAATTTTTTAAAATACCTGAAAGAAATAAAAGAAAGAAACGTTTGTAAATATTTATGATACACTTACATGGAAATACCAGAAGTGCTTGGTGACATATGATTTGTCGAATGAAAGAGCATTTTATGGGATCCTGTTTCTGAGCGACTATAATAAAAATAAATTTAGAATACATTAATTTATTACAGTTTAAATGTGTACAAATTGATTCATACAATATAAAAAAATATACACAAGACCTCTAACTAATAATGTGTTGAGCAAAGTTTGAACTATTAATCTATTATGAACTCTTTATAAAAGGCTTAGAAATTTATTATAATAATTAGTTTATAGTACATTGTATAGTAGTTTCTTGGTTGGAGAGAGAGAGAGAGAGAGAGAGAGAGAGAGACACACACACACACACAAACACACACACACAACCTAATCTAATAACTAATAAGAAGCGAGTAATAACATTTAAGCTTTTAGACCAAAACCTAATATCAAAAGGGTGAACACACATGTTGTATTCGATACAGCTCTAAGCCCTCGACTGTATTACAATTATTATACCGTTCAAGATTAATACAATTTTGAAATCTACTGTTTACATAATATCAAAATAATTCTCCAGAGATACTTAACTACCAACTGCAGTAGATAGCATAACGAAGTAGCAATGTATAAATGTATAATATTATTTTAACATTATTCCACTGAAATATACTCTGCAAAGTTATAATATTATTATGTGACGTATATTTACTTGTATGGTGATTGGTTTCCGTATTTATTAATTCTGTTTATATTGACCATTGCCATTTCTTCGGCCGATTCTTCGGAAGGGGCGTCAAATCTGGACGGTTTCGATACAGGAGTTGTATTGATCGATTGCTTTTGTTTGTCCGCTGCTTGTTTTTCACTACTCCTCCTATGCGATATTTGTACGCAAAAACACGATTTAATCATTGAGTGTACTAATAGATGCTTGCATAATATTGAAAATTATACGTACCTACGTAAATAAAATACAAAACTACCAAAAAGCGCATTGGTACATGCATAAGTTGATCATACCATGCACAAATCGCACTACTGTGTGATGACTATAATATGAATAATATATGAAATAACTACATGATTGGTGCTACAATAAATATTTTTGTACATTTTGGGCATGTTTCGAGATTTTTGTATACCATCTAGATTTTTTTCAATCCTTTCTTTTGAAATAATTCATTAAAATATAAGCGATTATAGTTTCTACTTGAACATTTATGAAGTTTTTTCTATTTTTCACGAGAGAATTTTTTTTTTATTCTTTTTATTCGAATCAAAAAATAACATACTTAAGATATGATGGTGTCATAACTTGTTAAAGTTATATAATTATCAATAATGCGCAATAATTACCAACAATTAAAATGAATAGTTTCGAATTTTATGTTTTTATATTTTTTTATTTTCAATTATTTTATCTGATGATTTTTTTAAGATAAGCTTCTTAAGAAGATTTTAATAAGAGACTAGGGTTATTTAATAAAAAAAAAAACTYTCAGTTTGTGTAATACAAATTTCTGTGAATTTTTCTTGTGTCATGTACGTATTAATCAAAGGGTTAGTTATTTAAGTTTTGCATTAATGCACTCGAGTAGAATGTTTAACGTATTAAAAAAGGGTCAAATTTAAGCAAAAGTCGTTGAAAACATTAATCAAAATGTTGAATGTATAAACGAATTATAAATTTATCGAACTGGTATTAAAAATCATATTTCAAACTAAAATTTAAAAGAACAATCAACCAACTTTGGTAATAAACCATGTGGTTAATATTTTAAAACCGGGAGTTAAATGTATAGTTTATTTAAAACAATTTTATACTTTTATATGGCTCTCAGGATTTTTATAATAAATATGTTAGAACTAATTTTAAATTAAAATTAAATGATGACCATGAATGGTGGAAATATAATATCTATTCATTCTATTCTAATATAATTATGCACATAATTGATAATACTATGAACCGTCTTATGTGGAGGAATATGATATGTTGGATTCAAATTAAAATTTGAAAAATAACTGTTGGTCTCTTAAGTAAGTAGGTGATTTAACCTACATATTTTTTATTAAATATCCGTATTATTCTCGGAAGTAAAAAAAAAAACTGGTAATTGTCAAGCCTTAATTTTATTTTATCGGAATGGTGGCATTTATATATTATGCTTATACATATATTATAATCTTATATAACCAATTAAGGCTTTGATTTTACCCTAAGGCATACACCAGTTATACATACATATATATATATTATATATATATATGCATGTTGTCACGATTAAATACAAAATTAAAACACATGATAAATCTCACTAAACTACAATAACTAATAAGCACCATGATGTACAATACAAGTTCAGTATTTTTTACCTCGCCTGAACCGGTTTAAGTAAACTAAAACTGTTAGCATGCTCGATCGATACCAGTTATTTCAAGTTCGTACAATTTCATATATTTTTTTATACTTTATGTACATAATATGTTATTTGATCTAAGAGAATGTATACAAGGAATAGTTAAAATGTTCTGTTATCATTGAAAAAAAAAAAAATTAAAGAGTGCCATAATAATTATGTATAATATATATTATATAAGTATTATAGGTATGCTATGCATACTGTTTTATTTATGAAACTACAGGAGCAATATTGAGATGACCGGTTGTCAGGTGCTAAGAGAGACCAGTTTATGATGTATTTTTTGTTTATTTATCTATATGACGTGTAGGTAGTATTATAGACGTATAGTAGTCATCTATATACTAAAAAACGTATAATTCTGAGCTTTTTGACTAACCTGAAGCAAAAACAGGGGTTCTTTTTGTACACAACCACGTGGCGATAACACAAAGCAGAGCATGTGAAAATCAGAAACACCACTCCAACAGCAGTCATGAGTATCATGACCAAGACACCGGTGTTGGTGCTGTGAGCGTTTACTTTAAAACCGCAATGTAACGTTCCGTACAGGCGAGGTGAAGTTGAATTCCACAATGCACAAATTCAAACATAAAAAATAAACGTAAGCGTTGTATGATTTTGAGAATCCCCAAAAATTATCGTAGTTAAACGCAAAAAGTGAACGGGCTTTTTATTTTTTTTTTCATATTACCGATTACCAACAATTATGAATAAAATATCGTGTATACCTACATTCCTACAACTGTTTGCGTGAGTTTTAATGAATTTGTGGTTTTTAATAATTATTTTGTTTTGTATTTGGTTTAATAAAATTTTATATAAATCAATGTCTCGGAACAAGTACGATGCGTGCTCGTAAAACAAAATAAAAACAAATTCGCACACCTCAAACACAAACAAAACCAAATAATATTGTTTGTGTAAAAAAAATAAAAATAAAAATAAAAATGTTAATAAAACAAATAGAAAATAAAATAAAATTCAACAGTCCAAATTTTCAAGACTTTTGTGTTATTTTGATTTCGCTACCTGTAGCAAATAGCTAGTAAAGCAAAACTTATGAAGACGAATTTTACTGCGACTGATAATATCACGACCATTCCTAATGTGCTGATATGTTCCGAATGGGTGTCTGGAAATTATTTTTAATTTTCGGATTTAATATATTTTATGGTAATATGTATTTTAAATTATATATAAATTTAATATATTTTCTAAACATTATCTAAAGATAAAAATTTTTCTAATTATTACTGTCAAGGAATCGCACTTTTATATGATTTAGTAAGAATTTTTCAATTTCTAACCGAATTATTAAGTGTTTGGTTTGGTTTAAATACTTGTAATCGAAAACCAACAACCTAAGTTTGGTTTGATTTAACATTACTTCAAAATACTAATACTTTTCTACGTTATTTATATATATAAAAAATTAGATGTTTTCCCCAAATGTTATTAAATTTATTTTCATAGATAATCCCTGTCCATATTATGTAAAATAAGTAATCAATGAAAACACCGTGTGTTTTAGATTTATTAGGATTATTATTTATTTCTATTAGGATTTAAAAATATAATATAAAACGGGCGTGTCCTATATTCTTTGTTATTATTTCGAGAGTTTTACAAAAGCCCGACAACGGGAAAAATAAAAAATATAATCTTTTTATATATAGTACCATCTGTGTTCAATTTCCAATTTATATAGGTAGGATTACACGCAACTTTTTGAGTGATCCATTTACCTACGCGTCGAAACACATCATTATATATTATAAAACTAATACGTTCCTAGCTACACTCAGATTCTAAAATTACAGGTTATAACGTTAGAAAAATAAGTTTTTGAAGCGAATTTGATAATACAGAAAACAAATTTATGTCGTAAGAGTGAAAAAAGGGCTATTGTGAACTGTTGCAAAAAATATAATATAATATTGTAAACGTATTGTAATGTAATATAATATTGTATTGCATTTGAGTTCGATAAAACGTATCATTAATATCTCGTGATGTAAATAAACTCGCAACACTATAGTGTTCTAATTTCCAATCACTTGCTGATGTATTACATTATGTTAAATCAAACTGAATTTTCCATAATAATGTATTCTAATTTATATTAATTATTCCTCTTTCACATTCTCCCTTCGTTTAAACTGCTGCAGTTACGTTTCGCATCGATTTACTCGAGTCTTTACCCCGGGACATTCATTGCGCTACTCTAGACCGGAAATGGCCGACATTCATGGGATTAGCTAAAGTTTGTTTTCGAACCAAAGATGATCCCAAACGGTGAACGAGAGTTTGAGATGGGGCTGTGCTATATATATATATATATATATATAGGTAGATTAATGATGATTGGTTACGCTTACGATCGTATAAACTATAAAGCCAAACACCGGAGGAGCGTGATTGAATTCGGTCGTGTGTGCGCGTGCGCGTATAACATATTGTTGTTTGAGTGTAATTTGCTCAATAGATGAGAAAAGTCGCTAGGAGCTAACTAAGCTAAGTCGATATAAAAAGGTTTATGCAAATTAATTTGAAAAAGGGAAAAGAGAAATAGAAACTCAGAAGAAGTAAACGTAGTCGAATGTGGTAATGGTTTTTACGGTGATGACGATAATATGTAAAATAATATTGGGTTTGTCGGACAACCATCGCGGTAATGGATTTAATCATGAAATTCGATAGGTATCGCCAAAATCTGACCAGAATTTTAAACTGGCGAACCAAATGTGATAGAGTACCTCTAATAGAAAATAGTTTATAATTATTTATAAAATTTGAATACAGGTAAAAAAAGACTATATGCTGTAATATACCAATAAAATCGTACTTATTAAATTTAATAAATACGTATTATTATGTACCCATATGAATATTATACTATAAGTTTTACATTTAAGTTTTATTTTGTCAGAATAAATGTTATTTGTTGTGAAACCAACGAAATAATATAAATCGATAAACGTATTTATTAGTTCCATGTACATAATATTTTAATTTATATTATAGCGTGGTGTCCGTGGCATTATTATATTTAATAACAATATTATGAATTATGATTATTAATATTATAACACGGATTTGTAATGGATAATATTCCACTAAAGTAAAATGTTTAATAAATAATTAATTATAAGCGATAGTGACGATACAATAACGGGTTGAATTCCAAGAATACATTTTAAACGCTTGGCGTTTCAGTGATTTTAAAAAACTGTATTAACGATATATATATTTTAAATAACAGCACGTTTTAGTTGGATGGAAAAAATATAATCAACGAAAATCTAGTAAATCTTAAAAATGTGATTAAAAAAATAAACATGAAAATTCACTGCACGTTTCACTGACTTGAAATACTATATTATTATGATCGACGATATTTATTTTTGACTCTTGTTCCGAACATTATTTACCGTCGCGCGTCGACTATCGTTCGATAAAATATAATATTATGAACATTGAAACGGCACTGTTGGGCGATTTCAATATTTTATCGGTTTTCAGCACATGGCTGACCTTATTAAAATAAAATTTAAAAAAAAGCTATCCAGGTATAACTTTAACATTATGTATAAAGATCATATATAGATAAAGATATAAAGATATAATGATAGTGGATGGTTATGCAAACTGATGCGATTAAACTTTGATCAGTATTTTTCTTTAAGTGTAAACGTTTACATGCATAGAAGTGCGTGGAAATTGTTTAATTTCTTGTTTTTCTGATGCAACTCAAACACTTTATTAATATTGCCCTTATTTTTTGGTGTTTATATCATGTCCGATGCCCGCAAACTTTAGAATAATCAATAAATAACTGTTTTTCAAACTATAACTGCTTGTTATATGTAATAATAATTAATAATATGAGTGTAAAGGGGAGGGGGTCTAGAATATACTTAAGTATATCTATATAGTGTTTGATATAGATTAATAATACGACCACAATATTTAGGTAATTTATGTACCTTGGTTGTATAGTTTCCGTATAATTATAACATAATATTATATATGTTATGTTTGACAATGGGAAATTTCGAAGAGAGTTGTTTGGAAAACGTAAGACCCAAATGCAATAAAACTAGTACATCACATAATATATTATGCTAAACGATTATAAATAAATACCGACTACATTATGCAAACTATAATATTATAATTTATAATGTATATAATAGTTTTGTCCTCTCGTCTGGTTTGTCCACCTCCTTTCGGTAGTCTTCATACTGCAATGCACTTCACTGGCATTTCATTTAATATTTGTTCAGTCAAGTCCAGTGCAAACAGTGTTTGATGCAATGTGAAAACTATCATTTAATTTCAAGTGCTATTGGCTCATCGAAATTGTGTCAGAATAACAACGTTGTAGGGAAATGTAGACGAGCACATTTTATCGATGTATGCAAACTCGGTTAAGAGAGTTGGTGAAATAATAATAATAATAAATACTTTTTTACATAACTATTTCATGTCAATGCATTGCAATATAGTTTACTGATAATAGTATTTGATTCTTTAAGTAAGGATGACCACTCCCCTCACTTTCACACACCGTAGTGTGATATTTCTTTCTTAAAAGTTAATTTTTATTATCTCGAAGGGGATGTATTTACAAAATATTTTCKTCACAAAATAATAATTAGTTTTTTTAAACGTATTATATCTAATTAATTAGTTGGAAAAACTGTTATATTATGACATGAAATTATGCGAAAAAAATATTTTAATAAAGTAGATAATTTTTGAAGAAGGTAATGCGAGTGTCTGTTATACACGAACGGACCACTAAGTACGTATTATGTTATTATGATTCCGTCCGAAACTGTCCTGTCGAAATCTTATTCAAAGTCAATAATTGGAATATCCATTTGTTTTGGAATATGGATAAATGATATCGCACCGAATGGGTACTTTGCAGTCTTATCCCTGTAATGGTTTGATAAAATGCAATAAACAATAAGCAGTTTAACAGCTTGCTGGCTACGGTTGATTCAGTTTTGCACTTATAACCTAAATTACCTATAGCGTAAATACGACGTTTAGTAATTAACGAGACGAGGAATTAATAAACCTTAAATATAAAACTGTGTATATTATTTAATGTAAAAGTAAAATAACGGAGAAGTGTAGACTATATATTATTATTATAACAGAGAGCACATCGAATGACAAATTCACAAACGTCTGAAAACAAAATCCTCACGAGTTGGTGATTAACAAAACTTGACGTTTATGAAGACGCTCTACGCGAGTGCTATTAGGGCATGTGAACGGATACATCCAAAAAGCTCCCCATTTCTTTTTTCCAAGTACTTATACTTGTAAACCTTGTTAAGATATACTCAACACTACGATTGATTTTGACTCACCGTGCGTTATCGTATAAAATGAGATTAATTCTGCAGTTCGTAGTTGAACCAATCACTGTATTGTATACTTTTTACAAACACTAAGCTAATATATTATTATTATGAAATAGTTTTCTTCTGTATCAAATAATCACGTGATTGTGTCACGGAAATGTTGTAAAATTATCATATATTGACAATTATTAATAATGGTTATATCTTACAAGACTCAACCGTATACCTAGAACCTGTTTTATTAAATTCATAAATATACTGTGTAGGTACCTATAAGTAATAAAATCAGAACAAAATATTGTGAATCGGAATCAATGTTTTACTGTTATGAGTTACATAACACAGATTTCAACTTCTATGATATTAAATTTGTATTAAGTTATAAGACACAGTACCGTGAGTGTATTTTCCAATGAAAAATATTGCAGGTATACATCAAATAATAATGGTGTAGAAAAATAAAATATAATATAGAACGGAAATTCCAAATATTGGAATATCATCAATTAATAAGTGCAATACCTATATTAACTTATTAGGTATCACGATATTATAGGTACCTAGGTACTGTGCAATCGTCGTGGTTATGATTTTTCACACGGTTTATGGTGTAATCGTTTCCATTAGATAGGTACTATAATAATATTTTGCAATATGCAAACTGGCTATATTCGGATTAATAATGTGTTATGACGGTTTAATTATTAGTTCATTGTATCTTACCATATGGAGTTTCTTTCATGATCATTTTGCTTTCCAGATCGCTTTTAGCTTTTTTTACATCTTCCGGCGACAGTGTCACGTCCGCGGAGTTAGGGGAAGTAGGCGAAATTTCTAACTGGATAGAACAGTCATTTCCTGTCCAGCCATTATCACAGAAACACTGGTTTAAATTTGAGCAAATCTGTGGAAAACAGTGCACATTTTTAACGTAATATTATAATGTACTCTGCAGTGGGGCAACGTAAATTTCGTTAGTCAAGTGCACTTACCCCGTGTGCAGAGCACTCTAAATCATTATGATTACTGGGACATTTATTGTGAGTATCGATGTACGGTTTCATACTCGTGCATGTTTGATTGATACAAATCTGAAAAAATAACAGAAACAATTTAAATTGCGTTTCGCAACATGATTTGTAGGTTAGTAGGTAGGTATTAGATGTGTTTCCTTACTAGATTATCACCGCACGGAGTTCCGTCCTGAACTAAACTAAACATTTTGGAACCACTCGTTGACCTAAATTAACACATTTGATATCACATATAAAAAATAACTATTTATTATTATCGTTATACCTACTATGCGAATGATTTGAGTATACACTATCTGTTAGGGTTATATCGGTATGTAAGTATACAACTAGATATTATATAAGATATTCGAAAAATTGAGGAATAATTAAACTTTTTGTGGTTAATTAATTTAAATTTGTAAATGACACAGATAATATCCACAAGCTTATGATAATTTATGTGTGGTATATATTTTACAGCCCTATTTAATTCGAGAGCTTAAACAAACAGAAACAAAAATTTAAATGGTAATTATTATGATATTAATTTGAACTGTATAAAAAAAAAAGGAAAGTCTACGCCGCTTACGCACAATATGGTTGTCAAATAATTAGTGATTTTATTTTATATGTATTCATACCTCTACATAGAAAGTTAAGTTGGTATACGTTTTAAAATATTTTTAGTTATGACTTATTAGTAAATATATATTTAAAAAACTTTAGTAAAATATTGTTCAAACATAAACACTATAATAAATAGTTGATAAAACTCATTTAAAAATSTTAAATTTAAGGTTATACTGTTTTTTTTTTGTTGCTAAAACATAATTTTATTTATTTTTGGTTCGGTTATTCCTCTACCTTTTTCTTACTTTAATGTTTACATTATTTTTCTTGAATTGTAATGTATGTGAGTTTTTAGCTTTTAATAAAGTTTTAATTACCATCGCATAAATTATAAACTTTATAAACTCTTAAAGTAACTACTATTACTAACGACTAACCTACTATAAGTTACATACAACTTATATCACTACTATATTTTGAATAGTTTGTATGTAGTACACTAGGGACCTGTGTTACTATAACCTCTGATATTAGACAACAGTTTTATAAAGGATTCAAAATCGCATAAACACAAAAACGAAATAAATTATTTAAGAGCAATTATATATTTCAGCATGAACTTGGAAATATTTTTTAAATTTAAAAATGTTTTGTTTACGAAAAGTTGTCAAAGTTTTTTTTTGTCAGACTGTCATACGAAGTGACTTGTAGATAATTTCGATTTTATTTGGCTTTTGGGAAAACTTGAAGAGAACCAGATGGTAGTAGGGGCTTAAATGTCACGTAGGATTGTCTTTAACTTTCATCGAACTTATTGAGTTGTTTGTTGGTATTAAGTAAACACGACTTGTCGAATTTGAGTTCACTATATCATGTATGGTGTTATGCTGCAATAATATTACATATAACAATAATACCACTTACTTGCACTCATAATCCTTGGAATCTATGGAGATTACTGTTTTGGTGTGCCTCGACGCTGATGCGTTTTGAGGATATTTAGTACCTTTTTGACATTGCAGTGATCCGCAATACACGTTTCTTAGAGAAAAAAAAAGAGAAAAACTCATTTGAAGTTAAATAAGTTTTGTAACAATTTTTCTACATATAGTGGTACAATATACCATTATCATATAATTAATTTGTTCAAAAAGCTCACTTTTGATCGCATTTTAAATACGTGGTAGTACCAGCCTCTTCGACCATACCGCAATGTCCACTCATCGATCCCTTAGTGTTGAATTCGTCGTAGCACTGTCTGTCTGATGACACCCCGCCTAAACCGCAAACACGGGCATTGTTTGATAGTAATAATAATAATAATAATAATAATAAATGTATAGTCCGTTTCTGTTGGGCTGTCATGCAAACTCTAGCTATTATAATCATTCAATTCTTTGTAACAAAGCACAGTTGTTGGATATAAACATTATTGATGGGCTTAAATACTATACGAGTATATGATCGGTATTATTATTACGTTGTAATTATTGTTAAAAAATCGTATGGATTTTCTCCCATCGATTCAATCGGTTTATATAAAACAATGGAMACCGGGGACGCTTATGGTCCCGGTGAAAATGCTTAGAGATAATATATACTATAGTTATTATTGCACATATCCAATGTTCTAGAATATGAAATGATGAAAGTAATTCGATTTTAAAACAAATATAATTTTTTGCAATTTAATGCACTTTTTCTAAATATTTTTAATTTACTTGAACGAAAATGTTTTCACATCTTTACTGCACTAAGCAACTATTTAAAAAGAGTTATATTACTATATTATGCAGAACAATATCACAAAGAAACAAAATAAACTAGAAAATTCAAAGTAATTTCCACTATAATTGAAATAACTGAAATATTGTATAATACATATATGAGTTTTATTTATTATATTTATATTTATATAATATATAATAATATTATAATAATTGATAAAATGTTTTATTATATATTTATATCTGAACTCGAAGACAATATAATATGTATTTTATATTGATATGATTTTTGGATTTTTGGATTTAAAATCAAAAATATTCAAAAAGCATAAGAGAAGACTTATGAACATTTATATGTATTTATTTATCTACCTAAAATGATGTGATCATTACATTTTTGAAAACGCATGTGTTTATTTTGTTATAAGTAGAAAAAACTTTTTTGATATTTATTATAAGCACTAACTTTATTAAAATTTACAAAAAAAGTTCGATTATGATATTTTATTGATTAATTTGTGAAGTCTTATGTTTTAAAAGTGAAATGGATCAATTTAAAATGTGAATAGAGTTTTAAGTATAGCAATAAAGAGTATTTTAAATCAGTGTAATATGTAATATGTTGTACGTAGTTATAAAAAAATAATTTACACTAAATTCATAAAAAAAAACCTTAAACTCTAACCTAACCTTATTTTAAACTGAAATAACGATTTTATTTTTGGTTGGATATATAGTTTTAGACCAGACAAAAAAATCAGTTTAGTTAAATACTTTTCCTTTTAGTTAATGAACTGTTGGTTAATTTAGTCAATCCGTTCTGCTTCATTAAGTTCATTAATCGATTTTTTATGATAAGAAATGATGATGTAAAGTGTTAAATTAATACTTTCAAATTTTTTATACATAAAATAAAATGTAGTCACACAGTACTAAATTGTATAAATATACGGGGCTTTGTATGTTTAAACAAAATAAATGATGTCCCAGCATATTTATTAGAAAAATAATCAAATACAGTTAAAAATTATAATATTTATCGTGAAAGTGATACGTCGACCTTTTATTAATCATCTTAATTAATAGTGTAATTTATACGTATTTTATTTTCAGATTAACTGGCAGGGTACGAAATTTGACTCCTGGCTTAAAACTTGTCAATTCAATATGACATTTTAAATATTGTAATATTGGTTTATTTATGATGCGAGATGGTTGGAATAAATAGTACGTTTTAAATTTAAATTTAAATTATCTACAAAAAATTAAGAGTTTTATAACATAATATCTTTTTATATATAGTTAACACTGAACACCAACTATATTCTAGCAAATCTCTATCACCCAATATCATGATTTCAAGTACATTTAAATCTGTTAAAAAAATGTTTAAAGACAATTTTTCAAATGGTTCGAATATCTTCTACCCTCCTCTCACCAACCTCAAAGAAAAAAATTAATCGAGGTCACGTCATAATATGATGCCCCGGAACGATGTGTTAGAGTATATTGTATATTAATATTACATTGTATTTAAACAATAATATCAAAATATTATACTTACCATAACCCCAAATCTGTTCACATTGGTCGTTGAGCGTGGGACATTCGCCCATGTAACAGAAGCCGTTTTCCGTACCACACGGGCTGGCATTCTTCTTGTACATATCTGCGGGACATTGACCACTGTCGCCAGTGCAGTGTTCGGGTAAGTCACACTCGTTGTTGGCCGCTCTGCACAGTGTACCCACCGCCAAAAACTGTCAACAGGCGCATATACGTACATTTTTGTCATAGAACTACAATACTATTTTATGGTATTATAGTATAGTTGTATCATTGACATAATTTGACAAAGAACCAGGAGATGAATTACTAAAAATATAGTTGTCAAATTTGAAACCGGCACAATACCTAATTGTTTGTTTTAAAACTCAATTTAGGAACAAAATATCGTATATTGGTATCAAATCATTAGATTACTCGAATAAGGGTACACAAGAGGTCGTTAAATTAAAAAGGTAGGTACTGCAACTCGTAAAATAATAATTATATAATAACAATCCAGTAAACTTAATTATAATTCATAAAATAAGATTATAGCTGGGTAATTTTTGTAAACCAGAGAATGTGATGAAATTTACAATACGTCAATAAATTAAACGACAGGTAAAATATGATAAAATATGAGAAATAACATTTTTTTTTTATTTAGTAAATTTAAATGTTGACTTGTATTAAGTCGTTGTTTTTTATTTTTGAAGATTTGAAGATTGCTTCTGTTAGCATATCAAGGGGAGCAAAATGTTATATTTTCCTACATATTTCTAAACTCGACGACGTAAAATATGTTGAACGTTTTTATTTTTTAAGCACAATCGAGATTCAACCTACCCTTCGAGCTTATGTTATTATTACATAATATTACAGACAATAATAATTTACCTTGCAATTATTACAACAAGTTCCGGATGCCGAGCATTCGGCTTCTTTTATCAATTTGCACGTGATCGGATCACAACATGGATCATTTTTTTGGCAATTGTCGAACCCGCCACAATCGCATTCTTCATTGTCTTCCACTATGTTGTTACCACATTTTTGTTGTGAATTTGTGACCTACGATAAAGAGCATATAATATTATATAATATACTATAGGTACCCAAGTGACCCATTTAAATATTATGAAAAACGAAATATCCATCTTCAAATCTACTATTATAAAAAGCTTAAATGATTTTCTTCGGTATGTCCGATACATAACTATAGATACTCGATTTTACCTCATTCGGTTTATTGAGCAAGCACATATTTCGAGTTTCCCGAAATTCGTCTATGTAATCGTTGAGGCTGCAATCGCTAAATTTGTATGGCTGAATATTCTCCATGCCCACGATCGATTGTTGCATGATACAACCATGCCAATCACGACAGTAACATTCTTCTCCTGAAAAAGTGTATTTTAAGTTTAATGAAGCAATTAAAATTGTTTAATATTTGAGTACCTACATCATTTTAAGTACATTTAATTCATCTACACCTTCGATTTTAGAGTATATTACACCTGATACCATAAACATGCGGCTATATACTATTTTTTTTTTTTATGGTTAGGGCTTCGACAACTGAGGTCATTAGCCTGGGGAACTGTAGGGTAAGGGTACTGTAAGGTTTTAACTCGTGGGTTTTTTTGGCAGAATTTTGAATGGGCACCCGTGGGTTTCTGCCATGCCCGGTTGGGGGCCGGCGGCCTCTCTCTCCAGACATCGCGAAATGCCCAAAGAGCGATGCCGCCCGTGACCGAGATTCGAACCGGCGACTGCGTGCGTCGCAAACGACGCCTTAGTCCGTTCGGCCACTCCACCCCCAATATATACTATTTATATTAGACAAATGACATATTTTGTATTGGTAAATAAAAATATAAATTAATTAGTCAAATTTTGTAGCGTTTTTATAAATATTATTAGTAGTATACATAAGTATAATTTTTTCGTATTTTTCGTATATAATGGTTTCGTCACACAATGATTTGTAATTTATTAAAAGTAATAACATTTAATAGATACGTTATATATGTGTTTTAATTTTTAACAACTTCAAAAATAATTAATGATTAGTTATGTAGGTACCTGGTACTTATATTAAATATGTATTGTATAAAATATATTACGTGGATGTATCAACCTTCAATGGTGTTAAAAAAGAAGGCAAAAAGTGGTTATGTCATCAACTTCCTTTGTAAGGTTCTTCATTGAGTGTTTACGAAGTTAATTATGAAAAAATTTAAAAAAACATTGGCTATTTATCACGTCTTGAATATGTCTCAAGAGTAAAAAAAGAACTAAAAAAAAAAGGTTGGTTACTGTTATTGTAAACACTGTATATTAAACAACCAAATTCTCGTGTATTTTTTTTTTTTAAATATTGATTAAAATTAATTTAAGTTAAATACATTTCATGATAATACCTGTTTAATGTAATAAATAAGATGAACAGATCATTTTATAAATACGTATGTGAACGTAATTTTAAATTTAATTTGATACGGTGTTGGTTTCTTTAAGATAAAATAATCGCACGTGCAGTGAGAGATTAGAATTATCAGCTGTGAATTATACATATTGTATACAAGTCACCCTGATGAGATGTAATTATTTTGTTTGATCATGTTTATTTATCTACCATAAGAAGTTTACCACAACTTAACGCTGTTTTTATTACACAGTCTTAAGATTAAACCCACATATTTATTATGTTTATATCAATTTCATCTCGAAATTTTCTCTAACTTAGTGAATATTTAATATTATTATTTAATCACATTCTTAAACGAGTATTAAGCGTCGTCCTTGGGTGGATTTCAGTTAATTATACAAGAAAATATAATAAAGTAACAGTACATATACATAAATGCAGTGATATAAACGTGACCATCATTACGAACAGCTATCTAATATTAGTAGTTTTTTAATTACCACTGCAGTGACTTCGCCTCGAGACTGTGATTTAATTTCAGAGACTTTTTTTTTTTTCTATAATTAATTAAAAACCTTGAACTCCACAGCCATCGGAGTATATAGAGACTAGTATGTATTATATATATATATATGGGTCGTTTTCTGACCTAACCACCGCCGTTAAGTATCGTGTGCTCGTTAAGTGTAATCATCGTACTTATTAGTATTATTACACGGTTGGCCCAAAATCAGAGGATGAGGTCGTTTCAGAAATCCTATAAACCCACTTGAGGCCACTACTGCTATTATATACAGGCTTCCCCTACGACTCTGCGAGGGGATTTATCACACCAGACTTGACGATGTGTTTTAACTTTTAAGCACATCATAAGTAAGTCGGTTCACATTGTACACATTACTTACTTTTGTCATCGTGGCCCATTCCCACGTTATGCCCGATCATGTGTGCCATCGAACCAGCTATGATGTGCGGTTCGTAGGCGTTCACATCCACACTGATGCCCACGGACTTTGCGGTGCACACGGTCCCATGGATAGCCATCCCCGTCTCGCCACCCACAAAATATTCTCCACTGGAAATTAGTAAAAAAGGATTTTGTCACTCAAACAATAAAAGATTAAACGCAATAATAATATATTATATTACAGCCTAACGGCGTCAGAACGAAACGTTGCAATTGATATTCATCAAGACACGACGTGGCTGAATACCAAATCAAATCGAATCAACTGCACTCACAACATTATTATGTTTTGAGGATTCAGGGAAGTAATAGGATACGATGGGTTTTAATTCGTTTTATTGAAGAAAATTAATTTCATGGCCATTATAAAATACCAAACGATTCCATGTGGCATCGAAATTATGTACGTGTGCAGGTATAGATTTTAATTCATTAACTTGTTTATTAGTATCCGTACATTGTATAGAGGTTAAGTGATACGTAAAACCGTTTCAATTAGTTTACGAGCAATCTTAAAGTAACCATTTACTGCAGCTGCAGGTTAGCGTTTAATGAAGAAATATCTGGCGTCGATTTAAGTCTATTATTTTATCATAGGTTACACTACAAAGATAAAACATGRAAAAGTCTATACGTTTCAAACAAATACATCTTTTTCGTATTACAAATGTTTTATAACTTTGTTAAAGTATTTTAGTGATTATTAAAACTATTATACCGTGTTACAAAACAGCATGCGTTGTGTAAATCTGTCACCTTACTCTGTATCTAAGTGGTCAAAACTTTTAAAGTGTCTTATCTATTTTACTCAACCTATGTAACACATTGTTCATTTTGCTACTTACCACAATTTGTAATTTCAGTAAAGAACACAATTTGGTAGTTTTAGACGTTTTAGTATTTAATTTTATCATACTGAACGAATCACACTTAATGTGACAGTATAAACATGTGCAAACATTTTATAAAAGTGTTATAATATTGAATATATGAATAATATTATAAATTACTCATTATAATGAATCGGAAATAATGTATTATAATGTTATAGTCAAAATCATACAATTTAAATTCAGTGAATATATGTTTTGTAATTTCATAAAAATTATAAGTATATCTGTTGAGTGAAATATATCAGTTCTTATTCTGCACTGTCTTATAAATTAAAATCAAAACAAATTGTAGGTATACTAATTATCATTGTTCATTGCGTTATGTTTGTACATTTATAATCAGTGCTCAGTCATATATGAATAAGATTTGTTCGGCATGTTTGGAGGACGTCCTTAGAACGAAATACATGGATATGAAGTGTTTTGCATATTTTGATGAAGATGATATTCGAAGGGAAAAAATTGCAAATGTGAAGTACGAATTCTATGAAGGACACGTTTGCAGTAATAATAGTACGTTTCATTTAGTGATGGATGAGTKTCGCGGGAGAGAATAATCAAGTGGTGTGTGGTAGGGTGGCAGCGGTGAACTCTGCCAGTTTTGATTTATGGGAACGTGAAGGAAAAATCGAAAGAGAACTCAGAGAAGTTTTATAGAAAGTGTGAACAGATATAAAGTAAATTGAAGACGGCTTAGGTTTTGACGGCAAAGATTGCCTAAGCGTCAATCCATGAGTAGTAGAAGACAAGTAAAAAAACGATTTTACCATTATGTTCATACGTCATGTTAAGTAAAATAGAAATCATAACCATAATAGCAATAAAAATAATAACCGAAATAAAATAAACGGAGGAGTAAAAAAATAATCTGAGAACGTTTGCGTATGATGTAGTTATTTCCCTTTTTGAACACAATACAAACAAGGCAATACGGACGTACAAATATTTATGAAGTACCTAATGTTATATTATTATTACATTATTTGTATAACGAATTCCGACGAATAAATTTCATAAAATGTCACATTTTTCGTGTTAAAAATTAAGAAAATATTATGATGTACTCACGTTAGTAGTTGAGCAGTGTCTTTGCCGATGTTGAATAGTGCATGTGACGAGTATTCGTTAAAGTTGAGCAATGCAGTGCTAATTTCTTTGTTTTTATCAATTAGTGCCTGGTTGGCACCTTGCCACGTTTCAATATAAACTACCGACACTCGGGTGTTTATCGTTCGGAAATACTGCGTAGACAGAAACAATAGATAAGCAGTCGTTAGATATTAACACCGTTTTTTTAGTTAAAATAACCCTCTCCCCCAGAATGCACAAAAACGATCTTAAATTATTTATTTTCAATCACAAAAATGTTCAGAAATAATGTCATAATAATCATACGTATATCATACAAAATATAATATTGCAAACAAATTTATACGTAAGTATAATAATTATGGGATGTAGATACTCACTAAATCAGCTATGTTTGCGATTTGAATGGCATCGGTGATTACTTCAGACCTGGAGCTGCCATTTCTCATTTCGAACTGAATAATATTATGATGGTGTGAAAAAAAAATGTTTAAAAAAAAAATAAAATATTTTTAAACCAATGATGGTTATAACATAATAATTATAATATGATTTACCATAGCCTTGTCCAACACGAGAGCGGTCTCTATGTATTTGGTCACTTCTCTGACGTCTCGTTTTAGTCGTCGCTTTTTCCGGAACCGTCCACCGGTAAAACCGTTGGTGTATTTGTTTTTTCTATCCGACCGCAATTCGTTGGCACATCCACGTTTAGCCTTGTCCCGTGCCTCAAATATCACATGAGGATGTTTCTGATAACATTAAACGTAGACATAATCATATTGGCTTGCCTAATAATAATAACTTTGTTTTTCGAAATTCCAGGTGAATAAGGGATTTTTGAAACCTTAAAAAATCCGATCTAACGAGAACGTTTCTCATTTTGTTTTTTATTAAATTCCTTTTTTTCCGGAATTCTTTGAACGTACGTCGTGTTTTTGACTAATTCGCACGTTTTTGACGTGGGCATAGTCAGATAGAAATGGAGTTTTTATATTGGCTTTTAGGTTACGCTAGAGTGATTTTATTTTGGGGTTTCTGTTTCCCCTGCCACGTTTATAGCGCTAAAATTGGAACTGTCAAAAACTTCTTTTGCAGCTTCTGTTGTCGTTGTGTCCATATGAAGTAGATTTAAAATGATCTCCGGGGGGCCCATTTCGATTTTGGAGTTTATAGTGCGTTGAATAATAGTTTATAGGTCTGCCTTCGTATTTTCATAATATTCTATTATTTCAGAAAAAAGTAGATAATAATGAAAACCACAGACAGTGTTTCATAAAGACACACAATAACAACATGCTGTTGTTTAACAAAATTTAATGATCACAATAATATTTTTACACAAAGCTGATGKTGAAAAGTTAAAATAATTATTAAAATAATTATATTTTACAACRTTGATGAACAAACGTCGGATAAATTTTCCACGGAAATTGACAAAAATACAAAGTTTACTGGATTTAATTATTTTTAGAAGTTTGAAATTATTATTAAATTATTAATTTTTGAAAATCAAATAAATATATAGGGAAGTTAATCACTCAACAACAGTAGACCTCTTAAAAATTTGGACTAATTTGAATAATAAATTTAATTATACCGACCAAGTTAGAAAAAATAATGTTATTTATTTAACAAACCGTAAATTAAACTATTTTGAAGTATTAAACTTATCACCATGAAACATAGAGATTATTTAGATCAGGTGGCTATGATATAATTTACGTATTGCTGTAACACTTCGAAAAGTTTGCAGTCTGTTGGCACTATCAATTTATTAATTTATTTAACATACATGTACTTCAAAAAAAAAAAAATTATATATATATATATATATTATATACATGCCGACTCTGGAATGTTTTCTTCCCACGGGGACTGTCAGAAGCCATGATTAATGACATTAGGTATTCTACGAGTACAATGGTCTACAGATTTCCTCCGGGAAAAAAAGATAGTAATACCGAGGCCACTTTCTAAAAGCAAAACATTTCATGATTCTGGAATTTACAGTTATCACCTGGCACGTTCATTTTTCTTATGAAGTGCTGTATCTATTTCACAGTAACGTGGTTAGATAGTTGAGTGAGTCTCTCATTCAATTTTGATATAATTTTATCGTATATAATGGTAAATACATCCTATGCTCAAGTTGTACACAAAAAAAAAAAAACACTAAACATTTAATGATCAATAGTGAGCTATGAGCCAATAATAATTCCTTAAACATGATTTAGTGGTCTCTGATTGGCTTATCAAATTATAGCGAATTGTTAAATATTAATCAATTGTTTATAAGCCTGATAATAACAATATGATATATTATTCTTGTACGATTTCATATTTAATAATATTTAAATATTTTATTTTTGTTCTAAGATACTATTATACATAGTATTATGTAAATGTATAACTGTTCGACAAATTGCCTAACTAACGCTCCGTGTTWCAAATATCAGGTTCTAATGATAATATAGGAATAATTTAAGATATTTTATTTTATTTTTGATACTGTATATTGCAAACTATAACAACTATGTTATACTACTTGATTGTAATTATTCCTATTTAATATATAAAAAATTCATTATAACTTAATAATTATTTAAAACATATAGGTAACCAGTATAATTTTTGTATAAACATATATCGATTAATGTATATCAAGTGACATAAGGCGATTAAAAATCTTGTATGGCGTGGAATGTGCATGTCGTAAAATGCTTCGTGTAGGGTAAATATTATATTAAGAGTTATAAAATAAATTAGAACTCATATTTTTATCAATACCATTGATAAATATCATTTACGATTATTATATTCAAATTATTTCAGTATATGAACAGGTCAAATAATTAACCTATTTATAAACTCGTTCATTTTATAGAATTTATATCTCTCGTTATACTGACCGACAAGTCTCCACCGTAAAATGGATGAATAATAAACGTTTCGTTGCCAATGTGTATAACTCCAGCTACTCCATTACATGTATGAAACGCAGCTGTGGCACCAGGAATATCTTTAACAGTCCCGTGGTAGTAACAATGTTCAATTTCCTTAAACAAAAATGCACACACATATTAATGTATCAACATTTTGTTCTTTGTATAATGTAATATTTATATTTTTAAAAACTTATGAATTTAAAAAAAATTGCAAGACAGTAATAAAAGTTTTTTTTTGAGATTAAAATAAAACTCGGAGTTCAAGTTTAAAGCTCCTACCTAATAATGTTAAAAATGACTGATTAAAAAAAGATTTCAACAGCTTTTGTAAAAGGGCAAGAATTTGATTTATGATATGTTTAAAATTAGATTGTATTTTAATTTTTAATTTTGTTCCATATTTCAAAAAATAATAATTGAATGCAATTATTTTTCATTGAAAATATAGGATATTTTTTCACCATCCGTATCTTATTTACATCATTTCTCTTATTTAAAAGCAGCTCCTTAGCATCAAACATAATTAAATTATGTCAAAAATAATTTTAATCAGCCTTAAAAACATTTTACGGTAGAATGAGTACAGCCATTTTAATTAAGATTCATGGAGTGCAATTTAGAAATAAAACTAACAGTTTATACGTACTTGTTTGGAAACCTGTTCAGCTCCATGAGGTAAAAAATGTTTCTGTGCTAAATTCGGTGCTAGTAATTGTCTGTAACAAAAATAAAGGAGCATAAGTATGTTTTTCTTAAACTTGTACACATAAATTAAATAAGTAATGCAATTCCCGAAAAGCCTGACATTTAATGTGAAATAAAAATACAAAAGAGCATAATATATTAGTTGATTTATTATGAGTTTACATTATTAACTTTTTTCTTTTGCGACATAACATTTTTAGAATAAATAAAAAATTTTTGTTATTTATTTCATTTAAACAGTATTTTGTAACTGATAGTGTAAAATGTCTTTGTTTTTGTTTTTTTACTGAATAACTGATATTGTTAAAATTTCTTCTAATTAAAGCAAATTTGGTTATTTACAGTTAATCTCCAATGTAGTTATACAAATTCATGATACACTTAATTACTAAAATACATAATTTTAATAATAATTGTATATTATTTTAATTCTTTAGACTTAACCATAACAGAGAAAAGTTATTAAAAATGTAAGATAAAACAAGAGGCTTTATGCAAATTACAAATTAAAAAAAGAAAAATGATAGCTTAGATTAAATTAAATTATATTTACGTAGAGTGGATGGAATAGTTTATTATTTAATTTTATGGTATGAAAATCTATTCGTTTATAAATTAACTCAAGGTTTCAAATAAAATAATTGTAATTCTATTTCAAACATTTCAAACGTTACATGAAAATATGTATAATATGTCATTTTTAAGTCTACCCTAATTAATTTAAATTTTATAGTTTTTAATTCTATTTGTATACTGTTTGAATAATTATATCGATTAGTTTATTTGTTCATAAGTGTTATGTTAAGTGTGTTAAGTGTTATGTTTAATGTTAATGATTATACATTATATTTTATATTTATATATTATAAGTTATAACTGTGGATTCTGAGGAAAAAGTATTGGTTTTACAATGATGTATCTGTTATGTTGATAATTTTTTTTGTCTGCTATCAAAATTAATGAGGCTTTTATTGTGTTTCTGTGTATGTATTACTTACAAGTAAATTTTTTCACATGTTCACTCATAAACGGATATGTTGGAATATGGTATTTCATACCTATCGTATATATTATATATATATATATATATATTTTTGTACATTCACATTTATATAGCTTCCATTGTTTTTGAATTATTTGTATTAGTATTTCATAGTATTGTAATCTATCAATTAATATTTATTTTCATGCGTACATTTTTTTCACAGGTATCTATCTACATGCAATCATCAATTTTTTTTAGTTTATTCATTATATTGACTTATATTTTTTTGTATTTTAAACTTTTAATTACCTATCTTTTTTTCTACATATTTTATTGTATATTTTCATAAGTACCTATTTAATTTTAAATGAGTAGTAATTTATTTGACTAGGTATTAAATATTATTATAATACACATTTTCCGTTTACTCATAAGAGTATAACTTTGTTGAATTTTTCATATTCTGATTGTTTTTGTTTTTATTAATTGTTCGAATCTTTCATAATTTTAATTTATTGTTAGGTTCCTAATTAATTATTATATATATTTAATATACTTCAAGTTGTGTTATTATTTATTCTTACAATATTATTTAAATTTTGTGTGAAGGGACATATTAATTGGTGGAAAAATGTTTTAATTTTCTACAAACAAAAAGTAATTTCAAAAAAAACATGAATTTTTCACAAAAATTAATTTTTATATTATTGTTTAGTAAACCTGATATAATTTTCAATTATTTTTTTGCAATTTATCATGAAAATTTTTAGTGTTTTTTTTAATGATTTTTTCTAAAATTATTTTTCGTTTTTAAGTAAAAAGCTTTAAGATGTTATACGAGATTCCTCATAAGTTGTTCTTACTCTCAATTAACAGATATCGAATAATAAATACCTTGTCAAATTTAAAGTTTCTAAATATATTTAATTGTTGATATGTAATGTTTGCTAACTTATTTCTTGTTTTAAAGTGTGTGTATAAAATATAGCACCTGCTTATAACCTTAAATATTTTTATCATTGTATAATTTATTATTACACTGCAGTTTTATGAAGTAATAAACGTATTAACATCTAATAATTTATATAGTTAAGTTTAATTCCTAATAGAATTTTTACAATATCCTTGTACCTCTAAATAGTTGTTTTACTTGTATACACAGTACACACCAAATCATATCAGTTTATTCAGTTTATTGATTTCGGCCTTTGGAACATGGGAGACACGGAATCCGTGTATATGTTGATGAATATACGGAGGAGAGACACTATATAAATATAATATGCATATTATATATACCTATATATATATATATTTGGTGTATTTATATTGCTATTGACCGGATTCGACCCAAACCCAGTACCCAGTGACCGGTGGTTACATTGCGATAAAGACAGATTTTAGGGAGCTGACGTAGTCGATGTGCTCACAGATACCTTTATGTGGATATAGATAAATAAAACGTCGGATAGAAAAATAATAATATACGATACGTCATTAAAAGGTGGAGAATTGGGAAGACAATGAGTGATCCTGGGCTGCCATGTCGGATTACTTATATCGATCTACAAATAATAGGATTTATTCCGCCTGTAGTTCCTTCGATATTGACGAATAGCATATATTTCTTAATACCTTTTCGATATTCTTCAGCAGCGGAAAGAGGTCTGACAAAATGTCTTTTTGCCATTCGAAATATTGTCGAATCATCGGGAAATCGGTATTTTTTTTAATAGGAAAATTAATTTGACTGACATTCGTTTAGAAGAAATGTTTGTGTCAAAAATTTTGTGATTATGTGTACTTACTAACTTAAGGCTTTTATTCGCTGACTAGGCATTACTGTCAGAAAAAACAACATAGCAATGGTTTACACCTAATAATATGTCGAAGCAATTAAAACAATTAAAAACTCACCGAAATGTGAGGAAAATTAATTATTTTAATTCAGTTTTACATTAGCAACAAACTGTTTTATGTAATAAATGATAATAATAATATTTTCAATTCTAGGGACCTTTTATTCATCCGATATGATTTATGATTATATATTTTGTGATTTATATATATATATATATTATATTATATGCTTGTGGCATTATAAGTTTTGGACAAGAATAGTTTAACAGTTTTAAACAAGAATTACACTATACTGTCACAAAGTTTATCTTATATTTGCCATTTTTGATCCGAAAAGATTAAGAACGGCGCTACTAAATTAGTAATAAAACATAATATACATCTTACAAATACAATTATAAACAAATATATTTATAAAATTCGCTTATTTTATTAGTAATTATATTTATTCATTTAAGAAATATTTTTAAATGCAAGGTAATAAAATAGTATTATATTTAAGTAGGTAGATCCGTATAATATATAATCCTATTTGATTTAGTAATTGCATATTTCCTTAATTTATATTTAGTAACTTGAAACCGTGAATAATTAATTAAGCACAATATTTTTGTTTAGCTTGTTAAAATAATTTTTGAGAAAGTTGATTAAATAAATACTTATGCACAAGAAATATATTGGTAATATTTTTTCGTATACATTTTAATGACATTCTTAATAATGAGAAGTAAACTGTTTAATTTCTTAAAAATATACATTTGGTACGTAAGAAATTAAATTCTATTGGTTTATTTTTTATATTTTCATGTACAATATTTGCATAAATAGTTAGTTTAGCAATTACACCGTGTATCTATATTTACTATACCTTTGTTCAAAAATTTAATTATCTTTATACTATTAAGTATTATATTGCAGTACATTAACAATGATGCTTTAAATTAGGTGCCAACCTACATTGTTTTTACTATAATTTCGTTTCGACTATTAAATTATAAAACTTATACCTAGTTATACCTAATTAAATAGCAAATTAAATTTTACAGATAATAATTTTTGTTTTATTACAAGCTTTTGGTTATAGGTATTAAATAACACAATTAAAATATACGACGATTATAACTGAAATAGTTAAATAAATAGCTATAAATACGAGGTAATTTAAACCTGCAGTACCATCGTGACAAAGTTAATTATAAAACTAAAATTTTTTTGACAATCTATATACACATAAATATTATTGTATAGTAGTACTATACATGTATTAAATGTTTTAAATTAACGGCATATTTTTAATCGTTGTACCGTTTACTATAATTTTTGCTGCTACCAATGTAACATAATATGTGAAGGCATACATGTTATATTTTATTTACATGGATATTAAAAATAATATATCTAATATTTAATTGAAATTCTATACTCTCCCTCTGCTCACTACATGTATATTATAGAGACTCTAATTTATGTTCCACTAAAAGTTTATGACAAAATAAATGTTGTATAAATAATATTTATGTCACACAGTGTTTCGAAATGTAAGCACAAATATTATAATCGAAGAAGCATGTGGCATGTGCAGTACAATAATATTTATATAATATTATTAATAACACGCCAAAACACACTGGAGTAGAATGAAAAAAAATAACATTTCAGAACCACTACTCGACTGGAGATCCCAAAGTTCACTACGTGATGCGAATTCCTAATCGTGTTTGTGTCTAGCTACCTACTCTATATAACGTTACCAATTCGTTTAATATAAACTTTCATATACGTTTACGCACATGACTATTATTATTATTATTATTATTATTTTATTTTTACCGTAGGTACCTACAAATAACGGCCTAATTACGCAGACGCTTCGCAAAATATATCAATAATTAATATGTTATTATTTAGTTGCTAATAATATTGTTTCTTACTTCGGGTTTGTAATCGCAGCTATATATGTCCAGGAGATTTACATTGTATTGTATAGTGTTCCAACCTTTTTGGACAATAACATTTTATTGGATAGATTATTTATCTGAATATGAACATCTGAATTATGTCGGGGTAACTTAGTTTCGAATTGCAAGATATTTTTGAAATTTCGACTGCGTTTTCACCTTGCTGATATGTATAGGTACAATACTTATAGGTACTACATGTTACATA